GCTTATCACAGTTTTCAACAAAGTCTGAATTTTCAGAGCACAGCCTTTTGAAACGAAGTGCTTGACTGTAGGGTATACTCGTCTTACAATGTTTTACATGGCTGCTTTTGAAATGAAGGTATCGGTGAGCGTCGGTGGGTTTTCTGTATACTTTAGTAGATAATGTTTCGCCGCAAAGGGATACTGTTACATCCAGGAAACAGATGGATGCCTTCGAGTAGGATTGTGACAATGAAATGGATGAATGAACCTTGTTAAAATCTGCAATGAAAGTCATTAGTTCCGCTTCGCCGTGATGCCAGATAAAAAAAATGTCGTCTATAAAACGTTTGTAGTAGTATGGCTGTAGTTTGCACGTTGAAAGAAAATGATTTTTCGATTGGCTTATGAATATATTAGCGTAATGTGGACCAATTTTGGTGCCCATTGAAGTGCCACTAACTGGTACGTAGTGAACACCGTCGAACTGAAAATTGTTAAGCTCCAGGATGAGTTTTAATTATGTGGCTAATGTACAGCTATCAACAGATTTGTCACATGATGAGTCGTTATAAGCATCCACTACTGCATGAATGCCGTCTTTGTGGGGAATACTGCTATAAAGTGACGCAACATCTAATGTTACCAGAAATTAGTCAGCAGGTATATTCAGGTGGATGATGTCAGCGAGGAAATGAGAAGTGTCCTTCAGATAGGATGGAAAAGTTGGAGGTAGTATGCTAATCAGGCCATCGACATAGCTTGAAAGTAGTTCAGTGACAGTGCCAATGCCTGGCACTATAGGACGACCGGGGTTATTGGGCTTATGTATTTTAGGCAATAGGTAAATCCTTCCTGCAACAGGGCTCAGTGGGACTAATGAGTACTTTGCTTTATCGGGAAGTTTGTCATCCAGTATTAAATGCTTGATTGTATCAGTAACGATGTCCTTAAATTCTTCTGTGTGGTTTTCACTGAGTCGCTTGTAAAACGTGTCATTATCTAGCTGTCTCTGAGCTTCACAAACGTAGTCCGTTGTGTTCATTATCACGATTGCGCCTCCTTTATCAGCGGGTTTTATTACAATATCTGTGCGTTCTTGTAAACATTTAAGTGCATTCCGTTCTTTGAATGTGAGGTTTCCTTTGAATGAAATGCGGTTCCCATAAGCCTGCAGAATTTCACGCTGAACTGCAGATATGTACATATCGAGGAATTTATAGCGTTGTGTTGGCGGCGTCCAGTGTTGATGGGAAGACATGTTACTCTTGGATGATGAACGTTTATGGAAGAATTCGCTTAGCCTCATACCTCGCGCGAATTCATCTAAGTCTTTTATCAAGTTAAATTCATTGTAGCCGCCAGTAGCTGGACATAAATTCAAGCCCCGAGCAAGCACACTCATTTCTGAGTCAGATAAAACCACGTTTGAAACGTTTACTACGTTAGGTCTAGCTGATAGTTTGTCTCGTCTAGAACAGGATGATTCGACTGCAAGGGAATCTTCTTTGGTCAGTGGTTTTGGAAGGGTAATGTCATCACGCAAAAACTTTTTTGCTTTCTTCTGTTCAATTTCTAATTGTTTTCTCTGTTCGTATATAACCAGTGAAGCCTATTTAGAGGGTTCCAACATACGAGCCTTGCGCAACTGTCCTTCACTGCTTAGCAACGCTTTGACAGCAGAATTATAATGGTCGACGATGATGCGCATGTGAGCTAGGGACGCATTATTTAACGTTTCGTTCCATTTCTCGACGTTGCGTTGTGACATTTGGGAAGTTGCTGGTTTGAGCGAAATCACAAGTCCTTTCGATACAGTCAAGGCGTTTAGACAGGTGTTTAGCGTAGATGCGTGAAGTTGGTATTTCACACGTTTTTCCACAATTTTTCTAATTCTGAGAAAGTCACGACTCTGAATAGGGTTGTTGCATGAGGTCGGTATTAGTCAATTGTTTGAAGGTACAGTGCTTTTCTCACGATTGAATTTTCTTAAAGGGTACCGGCGAGACAAAGAAATGTTTCCAGACCTTTCACAAGTGGAGAGTCCTTGGTTCTTTGCTTTCGCAGCAACTGTGGCGTAGGTTGCTTTTTCTTGCGCAGGTGACTCGGTGTAGATTTCGGGCACTTGGAGGCGTTGGGGTGAAGATGAGTGGGGCGAGGATGCAAGTTCCACAAGACCAGGTTGGTGGGCATTGGAGGATTGCATCATCGAACCACTGGGCATGTGGTCTAGCCAAGAGGAAGACGAGGCGTCCGTTGCGTTCCGGAAACACAGCTGCTTTTCACACAGCTGATTTTCACAGCTGATTTCTGGTAACATTAGATGTTGCGTCACTTTATACTAACATTCCCCACAAAGACGGCATTCGTGCAGCAGTGGATGCTTATAACGACTCATCATGTGACAAATTTGTTGATAGCTGTTTATTAGCCCCATTAATAAAACTCGTCCTGGAGCTTAACAATTTTCAGTTCGACGGTGTTCACTACGTACAAGTTAGTGGCACTTCAATGGGCACCAAAAGTGGTCCAAATTACGCGAATATATTCACGGGCCAATCGAAAAATCATTTTCTTTCAATGTGCAAACTACAGCCATACTACTACAAACGTTTTATAGACGACATTTTTTTTTAATTGGCATCACGGCGAAGCGGAACTAATGACTTTCATTGCAGATTTTAACAAGGTTCATTCATCCATTTCATTGTCACAATCCTACTCGAAGGCATCCATCTGTTTCCTGGATGTAACAGTATCCCTTTGCGGCGAAACGTTATCTACTAAAGTATACAGAAAACCCACCGACGCTCACTGATACCTTCATTTCAAAAGCAGCCATGTAAAACATTGTAAGACGAGTATACCCTACAGTCAAGCACTTCGTTTCAAAAGGCTGTGCTCTGAAAATTCAGACTTTGTTGAAAACTGTGATAAGCTTCGTGATGCCCTAACTGTACAACAGTACCCGCCTCAGATTATCGACAACGCGATCATGCGCACCGATGCAATGGACCGAAGAGCGCTTCTAAAATCAAATAAAGAACCTGCGCACCGGAAGCACTTCAATTTATTTCTGACACATTCTCCGTCAATTCCAAATGCTGACGCGATTCTCAAAAAGCACTACAACATACTAATGCAGAGCAATCGTCTCAAAGACGTCTTCCCGGAGCCTCCACGAGCAGTTTACCGCCGATCAACAAACTTACGAGACATACTTACGTCATCAAAACTATCAACGCCAGCCCATGTGGAGTGTAACCCATGCAACAAGACACGCTGCAAGGTGTGCCCCCACATGACCACGTCGCGTATTGTTAAGAGCTCTGCGTCAAACTTCACTCTCTGGATAAAAGGCAATTTCGACTGTGACACGAGCAATGCAATCTACTTGCTATAATGCTCATTGTGTGACCTCCAATATATTGCTCAAATGGAGACAGCTTTCCGGTTGCGCTTCAATAATCACAGGTCACAGATCAGGTGCATGCCTAGACTTCCCCTGTCCAAACACCTCACTACCCCAGGCCACTCTTTCGACAACATAACTGCCACAATACTCGAATCTGGTTTTAAATCGCACTACGAATGGGAAGTCCACGAATCTTTTCTTAATCATAAATTTAACGCCATAGCGTCTGGAATAAATGAGAACCAAGGCAGGCTTACGTTTTTACTGGCAAAACAGATGAATCAACCGCCGTAGCCCACATACACGTTTGTTCACTGCCGTGATTACGTTGCGGTGTCATTGGTGACACATTAGTTAGTTGACCAGAACGCATGCACACTCTGTTACCACATTTGTGGCATCAATGGTGATATTATGCTCATGTATATTTCACTGACAACGAACTTAACTTATGGCATTGCCTTTTTTTGTTCATTCACAAATGTTGCGATATCACAAGTGTCCATCATAATATTTGTATCTATGTTTTCAAGTCACCTTGCCCTACCATATGCTGTATGGCGCACTGCTGCTCCGCTATCAACAAAATACTGCGCATGTTTGAATATCTTTTTGTTAACATGTATGTTAATATTGCTAAGAGTGTTTATTCACAATTGGGGGCCCTCATGCTATGTCCTTAAGAAGTGGGTGTTAGTGTAATATGCACGTATGCCCTGACGAAGGCCGGTCCCCGGCCGTAACGTTGGCATTAAAGCATCGTTTTTCGTTTGCTCGTTCGCTTCTTCTGGTGACTTATAACTCGACCGGAATCTAGGAAGACTTTCAAGTAATATATATATATATATATATATATATATATATATATATATATATATATATATATATATATATATATATATATATATATATAATATGTGGATAACGTCGGTGAAGAAAGCGACGGGAAAAATCAGCCACGAGACTGTCCAAGTAATTGCGATTGCAATAGGAATTTGAATTGACAGTGTGCACAACTTGGTAACTTTTGGTGAGTTTCGGCGCGCATGCCCCCTTATAGCGATATTCATACATATGCTGTAATGCTAAGCGATAATAATCTTTGTCTGTTCCTCTGTATCCAGACTGATGTTGAAACTTCCATGTGAGCCTTCTGCTAGGCAGTAAAATTGAGAGGGGAGGATTTCAACGTGCTTTCGAGGGTCATGCAATGGAGCCCCGAAGGCCGCAGGTTGCTGACCTTTGGTAAAGCTGATATCAACAGGATATGCCTGTTGTGAGAGGTCCGCTCGCTTAAGAAAGGAGTATTTGACCTATAGAGTGCACAATTTATGAGGTATTTTATTCAATTACCAGAATCAATAATTTCAAATCAAACAGAGAACTGAGTACATTTTAGAATATGAAAAAGGAGGTCCCGTAGTCACAGACTGAGATGGGACTTGGTGTGCATGATAACATAGTGATAGATATATACAAAATGACAATATGGCAAAAATTATGAAGCCTTGTGCGAATTAGAAGCGCACGTACATAGAATAAAAACAACGCATTTGTGTTTTCACATACCAGCTGTTTCACAAGAATTGATCAAGAACATACTTACTGCAATGCGATACATAGAAATGTAATGCGATATAGGGCCGTCCTTTTCATGACCAATAGTAGTTTTCCCGCAGTAAGCAGTTACTCTGTTTTTGAAATTTTGGAATAGTTTTTCCACCTGCAAAAAAAAGTGTGTGTAATGAGTAGGCAAATCTTATAACATACGTTAAGCTTTCGTGACGCACAAGCTAGGCTACTCATGTTTGTATAGGCTTGAAAAAACTAACGTTTAAACTGGCCAAGGATTAGAATACACGGGCACTATATTGCTACCTGTAGGCTGCCACAAACCATAGTGCGAATGCGCGTGTGCGCCCGACGAAGAAGATGAGGGTCGCGGGCTGCTCGAGCTCGGAGCCAGACTGGCCAGTGCTGCAACCGCTCTTGCAAATATATTTTTCGAATATATTCGCAATACTTTGTCTCGTTACTCACGTAACATATTTGGTGGAGGTGGAACGATCCCCGTCCTCACCACGCAGCTCCGCAGTGGCCGCATCCTCCAGCTTCCCGCCATGGCTTTCAGTGACAACGCGTCCGCTTCACCATCTGCGGCTTCTCCGACAACCTTTGTCGCCGTCCAAACACCACGTGATCCCGGGACATTTTCTGCGCAACCTGGCCTCGACGTCGACAAATGGCTTCGCCTTTATGAACGGGTCAGTCAAACTCACCGCTGGGACCCTACCATGATGCTCGCTAATGTTCTCTTCTACTTGGATGGAACCCCGCGTGTCTGGTACGAGACAAATGAGTCCGAACTCACCAGCTGGGACACGTTCAAGGAGAAGCTACGTGACATCTTTGGGGACCCGACCGGTCGCCACGCAGCTGCACGACAGGAGCTGGCTACCCGTGTCCAGTCGCCAACTGAATCGTATGTGTCATACATCCAAGAAGTTCTCGCTCTTTGCCGAAAAGTGGACGAGGCGATGTCTGAGGCTGAAAAGGTTGGACACGTTTTGAAGGGGATCGCGGACGACGCCTTCAATTTGCTGGTGTACACTAACGTCTCGACCATCGACCGTGTAATTCAAGAATGCCGCCGTTTCGAAACAGCAAAAAGCCGTCGGGTGCGCCCTCCTTTTTCTCGGTTGCCAAACACGGCGGCTACGTCCACCTGCTCCGATTCTACCGTCACACCGCCCTTTGAGCAGAGTGTAACGCGTATCGTTCGACGGGAACTTGAAGCAGCAAGTCCAGCGCCGCTTCAGCCCACTTCTTTCGAACATACGATACCGACAACCCCCGCGATCTCCGTTATTCAGGCGGTCGTACGACAAGAATTCGCCAACCGCGGGTTCCCTGATGCTTGCCCCATCTCTTGCCCCTCCTCCAGACCAATTCCCATTAATGCACCTCGACGTGACCCATTTGTTGCTCCACGATCTCGCAACCCGGCGGAATGGCGAACTCCTGACGACAAACCGATCTGCTTCCGGTGCCACCGCGTTGGACATGTCTCCCGCTACTGCCGTGCCTCCTGGACGCCGCCACATAGGAGCCAGTTTTTCGCACCTTATAGCCCATATGAAGATCTTCGCCGGTATTCGTCCAGCCGTACCGCCCCTGCTTTCGACACGTCTAACAGCCGCCTTCCTGCTCGTTCTCCGTCCCCTCAACGCCGTCGTTCCCCGTCGCCCCAGCCACGCCGCCATCACTCGCCGCCTAACTTTTCATCGTACCCGACGGAAAACTAGACAGTGCAGCCCCTGGAGGTAGTGCTGCATCATCCCTGTCTGAACCAAACCCTCCATTGACGCTTCATACGAACAAAAATCTTGTCGATGTACACGTGGACGGTATTTCTCTGTCGGCACTAGTCGATACTGGCGCTCATGTGTCCATAATCAGCGTTCATCTTTGTCGCCGCTTAAGAAAAGTACTCACGCCTCCTGCTACCGAAGCTGTACGTGTGGCCGATGGCGGCACTGTTCCTGTCATTGGCATGTGTACGGCTCGCATAAGCATCGCCGACCGTTACATCCCTGTTCTATTCACGGTGCTCCAGAACTGTCCTCATGACCTCATCTTAGGGATGGACTTCCTGTCGACCCATTCTGCTCTGATCGACTGTTCCGCTGGTACTCTTTGCTTAGACCTTCCTCTTCAGCCGGATATTCACCCTGAACCTCAACACGGCCTTTCTGCCACAGACTTCCTCCGCTTACCGCCTAAAGCCCTCACATTCACCGAATTCGCCACGACCTCACCCGTATTGGATGGGCATTACATCGTCACGCCGATTCCTGATGTCCTACTGGCACGTGACGTCACCGTCCCTCACTGCATCGTAACTGTAGCCTCCAACCGGACCCGTCTACCCGTCATAAATTTCGGCTTCACAAAGCAAGTCCTCCCTGAAGGCATCCTAATCGCCACGTTGCGGTCCTTAGCCGATGATCACGTCACCACTTTCGCAGTCGACGCATGCACCAATTTTCCTTGTCGCCCACTCGATGCCACATGCCTCGACATGTCAATACGTCCCATGATCGACCCTGACCTTCCCCCAGCGCAATCAGCCGCTCTCGCACGCCTTCTAGCTTCCTACCGTGACATCTTCGACCTTGACGACCGCCCACTCGGCCAAACTTCTCTTGTAAAGCACCGCATCAACACCGGTGATGCTGCTCCCATTCACCGTCGACCGTATCGCGTGTCCGCGTCGGAGCGCCAGATTATTCAAGCTGAAGTGAATAAGATGTTAACTAAAGGCATTATTGAGCCCTCATCAAGCCCATGGGCGTCACCCGTCGTCCTGGTTAAAAAGAAGGACAACACATGGCGTTTTTGCATCGATTACCGGCATCTAAATCGAATCACCAAAAAGGACGTGTATCCTTTACCACGTATTGATGACGCCCTCGATTGTCTCCACGGCGCACGCTACTTTTCATCCATCGACCTTCGTTCTGGTTATTGGCAGATTGCCGTAGACGAGAAAGACCAAGAAAAGACCGCCTTCATCACTCCAGATGGCCTATACCAATTCAAGGTTATGCCCTTCGGTCTATGCAATGCCCCCGCCACGTTCGAACGTATGATGGACTCTCTGCTACACGGGTTCAAATGGTCAACATGCCTGTGTTACCTAGACGACGTCCTCGTATTTGCACCTACGTTTGAGACCCACCTTGAGCGTCTGTCGGCCATTCTCGACGTCTTCCGCAAAGCTGGCCTCCAGTTGAACTCCTCGAAGTGTCACTTCGGCCGCCGACAGATTACCGTGCTGGGCCACCTTGTCGATGCTTCTGGTGTGAGACCGGACCCTGAGAAAATTCGTGCCGTCACGAGTTTCCCAGTACCCCAATCCGCCAAAGATGTCCGGAGCTTTGTGGGACTTTGCTCCTACTTTAGGCGGTTCGTGAAAGATTTTGCGGCAATCGCCCAACCACTTACCGATCTTTTGAAGAAAGGCGTTCCATTTTCGTGGGGGTCCACTCAAGCTGCCGCCTTCTCTCACCTCATAACACTTTTGACGACGCCCCCTATCCTGGCCCACTTTGACCCATCTGCCCGAACTGAGGTCCGAACTGATGCCAGTGGTCACGGTATCGGAGCCGTTCTCGCCCAATGCCAACAGGGACACGACCGCGTTATCGCGTATGCTAGCCGCCTCCTTACACCTGCAGAGCGTAACTATTCGATCACGGAGCGAGAATGCCTTGCTCTTGTCTGGGCGGTCTCAAAATTCCGTCCATATTTATATGGCACTCACTTTTCCGTCGTCACCGACCACCACGCGCTCTGCTGGCTTTCATCCTTAAGAGATCCTACAGGTCGACTTGGTCGCTGGGCTCTGCGACTGCAAGAATACACCTTTGCTGTGATATACAAGTCTGGACGCCTGCACCAGGACGCCGATTGCCTTTCTCGCTATCCAGTTGACCCATCGGCCACCATACCTGACAACGACGCCTGCGTGTGCTCCGTTTCTCAACTGAACCACATAGCCGACGAGCAACGCCGTGATGCAGCCCTACGAGCTATCATTGAGCGCCTCGACTCCTCCCATCGAACCGATCCTATCGCTCGTTCGTACTCCAGAATGGCACATTATACCGGCATAACTTCCATCCAGACGGCCCATCTCTGCTGCTTGCCATACCCAAACACCTCCGCTTGGCTGTACTCCACGAAATTCATGACGTTCCTACTGCCGGTCACCTGGGTGTGTCCCGCACATACGACCGGATTCGCCGTCGCTTCTATTGGCCAGGTCTGGCACGGTCCGTCAGAAGATACGTCGCGGCGTGTGAGGAATGTCAGCGCCGCAAAACACCATCGACGCTTCCGGCTGGGCGCCTTCAACCACTCGATATTTCTACTGAACCTTTCTTTCGCGTCGGCTTGGACTTACTCGGCCCTTTTCCTCTGTCTTCTGCTGGCAACAGGTGGATAGCTGTGGCCACAGACTACGCCACACGCTACGCAATCACACGCGCCCTTCCAACAAGTTGCGCCACTGACGTCGCCGATTTTCTTCTACACGACGTGATCTTGCAACATGGTGCTCCACGCCAGCTGCTCACGGACCGAGGCCGCACATTTCTATCAAAAGTCATAGCGGACATCCTACGCTCTTGTGCAACACGCCACAAGCTCACTACGTCGTACCATCCGCAAACAAATGGCCTCACAGAACGCCTGAACCGAACCCTAACTGACATGCTTGCAAAGTACGTTTCCTCAGATCACTCTGACTGGGACATCGCTTTACCATACGTGACATTTGCCTACAATTCTTCGCGCCACGACACGGCTGGTTACTCCCCTTTTTTCTTGCTGTTCGGCCGCGAACCCACATTACCCCACGATACGACGATTCCGTTACCAGCAGCTCCAACTTCACAATATGCTCTGGACGCCATCAGCCGGGCCGCCCACGCACGCGAAACCGCTCGTGCTCGCCTTCTGACCTCCCAAGCAAACCAACGGCGTCGGTATGACCAACGACACCGCGATGTGCACTTTTCGCCCGGTTCGTTGGTTCTGCTGTGGTCTCCGACCAGGCACGTTGGCCTGTCTGACAAGCTGCTCTCTCGGTACACAGGGCCATACAGAGTGCTTCGTGAGGTGACTCCCGTCACTTATGAAATCACTCTTGCTGCCTCG